ACTCGTCTCACAAAGATCATAACTTAATTTTTTCTTTATGCTGGAATTTATCAAGAAAGTTGGTTTAATTACTGTATTCTTTCTGCTTGTCATTAAAATGTTTTATATTATTGGAATCCACAAGCAATTTAAAAAAAATAATTAGAGCCCTTTTTATCTTTGAAATGTTACCAGTGGGCCAGATTTTGAGTCCTTTTCAAGAGCAAACAGTTACTCACATGCAGGTGGCTCCAATGAGAGGTAATATGAATGAAGCTGATAAGGCTCCTTTTGTAACTGCTCAATAGTGTGAATAAGGGATTGCAATCTGTTTCTCCTGAGAGTCCTTTTCTGGAGAGTGGCTGAAGAACGCATAAAAATGAATCACATAAAATAGTGATTGTAAAACAAGCAAAATAATTCTCTGCATGGCTGTAAGTGCTTGGGAAAGTCTCCCAGCATCAGCTCAGTGAACTGGCACTGGGACTTTGTACTGTCACATATGACACTCTGCCTAGGTGTATCGCTAGGTCTGCTGTCAAAACAGAATGTGGCTCCTGCAAGGAAGGAGCATCTTCTTTCCTTTGAAATGTTGGATTGTTGTAAGGCAGAGGTTTTCAACCTTTTTTCATTTGCAGATTCCTAAAAAATTAGCAAGGAGGTACAGACCTCTTTGAATTGTAAGTGTGGGTATTCACAGACTTTGACTGATCATTGTAATTTTTCAAAGACTTTTAGACATAGTCTGTGGACCCCCATGGGTCTGTGGATCACTGGTTGAAAACCACTTCTGTAAACCATAGAGAGGAAGACTTACAAAAGAAAAGGAGCAGGATATGCACAAATCCAAATGGCTGAAAATGGAATTGAAAAACCAAAAATGAATTTACTAAGAATCAGGCTGAAAGGAGTTTTGACAAATTCTCTCCATCTGACCAAGTAGTTCTTGAATTTGATGGAGGAGAACAACCCTTACTGGCCTTCCAATGATCTTTCCATTTTCCTGGTTTAATCCTGTGGATACTATATTTCTGACTATATTTCTTCAGATTAAGAAAATTACCCCTTTTCACTACAGTAGCAAGCCAATCTTTATGGTCTTGCAAGTTGGTTTCAAGTTGATGATGAAGTGACATATTTCTTGAATGCAGTGATATTACATTTTTAAAAATGTATACAAAGTCCTGTTTTTCTGAACACAGGAGGAATAAAACATGATAGTTTCTTTGCTTTTATTTCAACACTTCTTTCCAGCCAGCACATTCTGCAAACAGCTGGATCTTCTGACTTTCTTTGGGTCATTCTGCAAATGCTTCTGTGGCAGTGGCTGGGGCTTCCTTGCTGCCTTCTCTGTGCATACATGTCTGTCTTGTGCTTCCTGCTCACACACACAATTACCGTAAACAATTACCAGACCCTTGTGTTTATATTTAGTCAAATCTCTCTACCCAGGTGGCTCAGATTCCAACATGTGGCTTGTATTTTTAAAGGTGGCTTCTTTGGATTCAGCTGTCTGTTCCATAAAAGAGCTTAATTACTGCTCACATTTATCTTGAGTTTAGAACAATTATCACACTAACTAAATTCAACAACACTCACTCAAGCTCCCAACATACCAAAAACATTGATCTGTGCTGCATTTGGATCTTTTCTCCACGCAGGATGATGATTATGGTGGAAATGCCTTATTTTAAAGCTAGGAAAATGATGCTTTCAATATGTTTGTACTTGCTGGAGATAAGTTTATCTTATTCCCATGCCAGTCCAGATTCTGACAGACTCCATTTCAGAATTTATTCTTATGCCAAAACTTCATAATGAAAACATTACAAGCCCTTGAAGTGTGCAGTTTAACTATGCTAACATTCCTGATTACCAGATCATTGTCCTCTTTCACACTCTGATTATTGATTATAAATTAATCCTTAAATCAGTGATTCTCAGCCAGGGTGCCTTGAGATCCTTTCAAAGGTGTCCCATGGTGCCATACATACTGTTAAGTGTGCAAACATGATTCACAAGATAAATCCAGAGGGTGTGTCCACACAGTGCTTGTGGCAGCTCAAATAGGAGCAGCACAAATTTGAGCCAGGGATTTCTGCAGCAGCGCACATGCCTGGACGTGCACTTTGGTGCAGGGCAAGTTATGCCTCTTGGGGCAAAATAACCCTGGCCTGCTCCTCTTGGATCTGCAGCCAGGGGGAGCTAGAGCCTGGGGTCAGCACCTGTGCTGGTCCCAGCAGTATAACAACCTGCCCTGGTGAACAGCTCAGGGCTGCTTGCCCTCAGGAGCTTCTGAGGCTCAGCCAGTTGGTATCTAGGGACACTGCCCCTTGTGCCAGCTGGACTACTGAAGCAGTTGTGACTTGGAGTGGCCCCTGCCTCCTCTATTCACTACAGCAGTCTGGCAGTGGGGGCTGTTGCATGGCTGTGACCTGCTGCCACCTGTGACAACATCCACCCCCCTAGACCTGCAGCCTCATGGCTGCATGCCTGCCAGACCCGGATTGGGTGCCCCCACTCTGCATCTGGGCAGTTATTGCTCAGAAGATGTGCTCCTTGTGATGGCCCACTTTGAACTGTCCAAGTGTGTCCTCTTGGCCCCAAATAGCCAACAGGTCAGCCACCTCATCTGCCCTCCAGCTGGGTCCCCAGTGCTGGCCCTGGACAGGTTTCTCTTTCCTTGCCACTTATCTCACCAGCAGAGATCCTGGTGTTCCCTGTTTAAAAATAGCAAATTCTGTGATAAACCCAATTTCTTTCATTAAAATACCCAAAATAGTGTTCTTTCGCTATTAAAATGAAATGCCACTATATAGAAAGAGTTCAAATGGGCAATGTTTTATTGATATATTTACAAGTTTAAAACAATTTGGAAGCCTACCAGTGCCTCTGTCATCATAACAAAATAAATTCTAAATATCTATACACTTTGGCTTTACTTGTGGCTTCTTTGTCATAGAAAAACCAGAGCTGCCCCTACCCACTTCACTCAACAGGATGTGCAGCTCTGAGCAGCACTGATATGCCAGTGCCCTGCCTCTGCCCTTGCCCCTCACTCTCAACCCACAGCCTGCCCTCCGCCCTAATCCCCTCACTCTAGACCCACAGGACCAGGTATGTGAGTGAGGGGTTTGTGGAAGTGGCTTGGAGGTGTGGGGTTTGTGGGTGGATTGTGGGGGGACCTGTGGGTGTGGGGAGCATGGGGGAGCTGCTCAGGAGGGGTGGGTCCCCTGCCGCCTGCAGGGTGAAGACCCCCCCACACAGCCCATGGACTGCCCCCCCACAGGGGCCATAGTTCCCCCACAGCCCCCTAACAGGGCCCAGAGCCCTCCCTGCATGTGCTACAGCCCCCCCTGCAGGGCCCATAACTTCCCCACAGCGGCCAAAGCCCCTTCATAGGAGTGACAGCCCTCACCCTGCAGGGCCCAGAGCCCCTGTGGGGGCCAAAGTCCTGCTGCAGCGGTGGGGGTCCTGGGTGACAACCTGAGTGGCCGGAGCTGCCCAAAGGTGCACAGTTGTCACCTGGGGCCCTATGCACACAGGAACCATCCTGGTGTGACAGGTTTGGTTTGGTTCAGAGTCCCGAATCTCTTCCAGGAGCTTGTGGGCTTCATGTATAAATGGTTTACTACTTTTAAGCCTCTTAAGCCTCCAGCTGTTTGGGTCTTCAGTTAACAGTTGATGGAGCAAGTATTTTTGTCATCTCTTGCCTCTATTGCCAGTAATCATGTTAGGGTCCAATTTCCTTTATCACTTGGTCTAATGCCCAGGAGTTCATGGGGTACATCTGTGTGTGAGTGACTTATGCAGCCTGTTAATTCTGCAGTGAACATCTGTTGGTCAGTTGTAGGGAGGGAGGGAGTTGCTGTAACTCATGGCACTTTATGTGAAACTGTACATCTGTCAGCACCCTTAGTTTCTCTTTACAGCTACTCACAGGAGGCACCATGAGAAAGTAGTCCCTGTCACCCCCATGGTTCAGGTGTTAAGGGGTATGAGCTGAGGTTGTTACAGATGTTAATGTTGGGTTAACTAATTATTTTCTCTTCCTTTTAGTGAGTGTATTGATAGGAAATGCATTGGAAAAAACCTTAGTGCTAACTTAAGGAGAATTTTTTGGTGTATATATATTACTGAAGAAGGCTGTCACAGAAGATGCATGTTAAAAGTTGTTTCCATTTTCAAGCCCTTTTTTCTCTCAGGACTCAGATTTATGAAACAGAAATATTTTTAAGTATTGTAGCTTCCATGTAGGTTTTAAATCCGTATTAATTTTTTTTTGTATGTGTTTATGCAGTTACTGTGTTGGAAACTTGTTGTATGACATAGGTGGAATATAATATTAGTAACAGAAGCTTAAAGTTATTAATTGCAAAGAAACACGTTCTTACAAAAGCTACTAACACCACCTTTGTTATTAAAATTTTAAGAATTTTAATATTTCAGTTTACTTGTGACTAAAACTGTTTACGAGTATCTAAAGTAAAGTTAACGCATTATGATTAAGTTTCTTTGTGTTGTAGTAGTTACTTTGCAAACACAGCAGGGGAATAGTTGTGTCTGTAAACATACATACAATGATATATATATATCTTATTTTTGCAGCATTTTTATCTTAAAATTATGGAAATGTTTATGTTTTACGAAAGTTTGTTCTAAATTTGGGGCCAAATCTAAGTTGACTACGTTGCTGTTAATTAAATTTCCCCAATAAACTGCACAATGCGTTCACCTCTTTTTAGGGTCATAACAATAATACAGCAATTATCCATAGGCAAGCAAGAACCTGACACAAAAATTCAGAGATTCAAGTTTTATTGTAAGTATTTTAAGTAAATAAGGGAACATTTCAAATGACTAGAGATTTCCCATTTCTCTCTACTTGAAGACACCATACCTCTTATCTTAAAGAATACAGTTTCTAAAATGAAAAGTGGTTATATCAATTCAAAAAATAGAATTTTTAGATTTTAGTTGAGCAAATACTATTACTTTAATTCTTTTATTTACTTCTACAGAATACAAAATCTAACCCTGCAGTTGAAAAACAAACAAGATGAATTACAAAATCTAAATGGGGAATTGAGATGTTTCCAAGAAGAGAAGGAAGTTGCATATAAGCAGTTGCAGCTGTTCAGGTAAGACTTCCCAAAAGGTAATGCAAAATTATCTGTTTTCTGTGAAAAAGTGGGGTACAGTCAGTAACTAGACCCAATAGAATTGTAAGCATCCTGGCAAGAAATAATACTTGAGAGAAAACTGTGGAAACATTTCAGTGTTTGTTGTTTCTCAGCACATGATAAGATGTTTTGTTAGCAAATGAAACTGGAAAGTGACTAATGCATATTGTTGGAACTTTTGACATTAATCTCAACAGAATAAGTTAACAACAGAGTTAAAGCCAGTTGTTCTTGGGATATTGTAACATTTGGAACATAGCTGCAGTTCTGTGTTTCTTCCTGATGATTGCCTAAGAGGACTTTGAGTACATACACAAATCCATGTTAGAACTTTTGAAAAAGAGTCGTAGGACATTTACTCTGTCTATTTTATTTACATTTGTCTTCATTTGTACATAAATGAGGTTTGAAGTAAAAACAAAGGAGGAAGAAATACTCCTTTGCTTGATATTGCCTGACAAATATGCTAAATGTTTAGCTCTATTTGTTATACTGAATAATAGTGGCAAGCTATATTTTAAAATGTGACCTAAGGAAAAGTATTTAGTAGGCTTCCTGGTTAATACAACACCTACGCTTTGACAAGTATTGGTATTTGATCTCTCTTTTCTAATGAGCGATATTGTCAACCTATTTTCCTTTTTTCAGGAGCATATTGGAGAACCACCGGTTAACTCTGCACAAGGCTCTTTCATTACTTCTCTTTGTTAGAAATGAGCTAGACAATATTAAACAAGTAGTGGCTAATAATCTAGATAGCTGGACTACACTGAAAGAAGAGATTTTCCGACAAATAAAAACTTTACGCAAAGGAGTTTGGACAGGTAACTCATCAACTTGCAATATTATTAGACAAGAGACTCATTTTTGAATGTTGAGTAAACACAAATAATTAGAATTGCAGAAGATGTTTTACATTGCTGGTTGTTATTTGGCTCAGGTCAAAAGTAGCTGAAAGGCACTGCTATCTGATAGCATTTTGGGGGGCCTATGTGAAATGAGTTGAGACAGATGTTCGTATCACGGTCTCTAATCCCCTTTCCTTGCAATTGTAGCCAAAGCTTGTCTATCACTCAGAGAAGAAGGGTTAAGTTGTCATGGAAGCTGAATTATCCCCAGATGCCAAAACATAATAAACTAGGAGTTGCTTGAGTGCTACAAGCCAAATGTGGCCTGGTTTCTATAGACAGAGTATAGACCTATTGGCAGGATGATAGAGTGGGACAGTTTGTATTACTGCTGTCTTCTATACTTGTTCTGTTAATAGAGTAATCAACACAGTATTTAATCATTACAAAACTTTAAAAAACCTTTAAAGCTATTTTATAGTACTGCCAAAAAGAAAACTTTTAGTCTGTCCAGCAATCTGGCATTTTGCATATCTGTAGTGAAAATTGTGATTGTTTTGAATGAATCTTCAGGGATATAGGTTCTAGCCACATTGGTCTAAGAAGTATAAACAAACAAAACTTTTAGGTTAGAGGTGACATCTTTTATTAGACCAACTAAATAGTAGTAAAAAAATGTCTTTCTTTGCAAGCTTTTAGGTCCAAACACCTTTCTTCAGGCTGAGGAGAATTCAAGGATTGTAAAAGTTCTCCCAGGTAGACAAAAAACTTCATTTTGCACAAGGGATGTAGAGGGTGGAAGTTTTTTCCCCTGGCTTACTCAAGCCCTTATCAAAGTTGCTCTTTGATAAGTTGATTAGGCAGGCTTCATCCCTGGGTGTCAGCCAGGGAGATGAAAAATTCCTCTTTCGTGGTTAGCAATGAACTTTACATTTCCAAACGACTAAAATACGTTAGCCGCTTGGAAATGTAAACTTTGTTGCTAACCAAGAAAGAGGAATTTTTCACCTCGCTGACTGACACCAGACACCTCCCGGGATGAAGCCTGCCTAATCAACTTATCAAAGAGCAGCTCTCTCACAAAAGGACTCTGAGTAACCCAGGGGGAAAACTTCCACTCTCTACATCCCCTGTGCAAAGTGCAGTTTCTTTTTATCCTGGGAGAACTTTTACAATCCTTGAATTCTCCTCAGCCTGAAGGAAGGGTGTTTGGACCTGAAAGCTTGTAAATAAAGATTTTTTTTGCTACTATTTAGTTGATCTAATTAAAAATATCACCTCTAACCCAAGAGTTTTGTTTGTCTTGACTGAGAATTGACATTTCTGAGTTTGCCATGACTCTGAGAAACCCCAACATAATTTTTGCCTTCTAAAAGTGGAGTTTTTAAAAAAGTTCTCTAAAAGTAGAACCATTTAAAATATCCTGAATATTATTAGCAATTAGATGAAGAATATAACTGTTTAATATTTAAATATTTTGTTTTAGTATTAACTAGTCAGGTTCTTTTGATGATAATTAAGTCCATTCTTCCCTTGTCACAAAATATTGCACTTCGCAGCAACATAATGGCTACAAATAAAAACTTTAAAATGCCCATTTTAATTAAATTCTTTACTTTTAAACACCATACAGTGTATTTATAAGGAATTCTTCTAACAAATATCTTGCACAGAAGTAAGATGAATGCAATATCCATATTTTTTTAATTAATTAAACCCATTATAACACCACTTTATCACAACTTATAAAATGCTTAGCATTTAAGAAAAGGCTTTTAGAGGCTGCACCCAGTATTGCTAAAAGAAACTCTAATAGCATGTTTAAGTGTGAAACTGGCAGCTGTTATGTTTGCTGAAAATTGTGCAGGATCACCTACCATATTTACTGGAATACAAGATAACAAATATAAGACAACTCCCCAATAATTAGATTTTATATATGGAAAATGTATAAATTTGTTATAATTTTCCACGTGTAGAATCTAATTATTGGAATGCTGTCTTGAATTCATCCCCTTCCCACACTAGAGCTGGGAAAATGGCTGGGGGGGTAGGAGGGCATCAGGTAGCCCTCTTGCCCTCTACCCCCACCCAACTTCTCCCCCCTACAGCTTTCCTGTCAACCCTTACTGTCACACCTTGCCTAGGCTCTGTTCCCTCCACAAGCACAATGTGGAAGTGAGCTACATGTGACAGCAAGTGGGGAGGGCAGAAACTGCAGAGGGGAACAGGAGACTGCTGGCAGTCTGACTCTGGCCCCAACACTGACTGCTGCAAACTTCAGCACAGGTATTCCATAAATGCACTTCTGAGCACCACTTCTATACCTATTTATACATAGTACAAACTGTGCATGATAGTTCAGAGCCAAAGGGTTCATAACTTACATAGTTCATTGGGCTGGGCCTTAGCAGAGTCAACAACATTTCAAGCCATGGTGACCCCACAGCTCAGCACTGCTCAGTATGTGTGTGCATTCCAGATACTCCCACAAAAGATCCATGTGCTAACTAGGCCCTCACTCACAACTAAAACTGGGTGCTCTTTTCACAAGTCCTGAGACCCTCCAAACTTCCTACGCAGGTGAGGAACAGGGCTGCGTGATCTGTCGCCACCCCAGAGAGGGTGGGGCCACACTAATCACATACAACAGGCTGAGAGAGGAGGCAGCAGAGCCTCTCAGCTACAGAGAAGTTTGGTGATGTTTGCCAGACATTTAAGGCTGGTGAAGAAATAGGAATCATTGGAAATGGGAAAGAAAGGCTCTGCTCAGCTGTGGGAGTGAAGAGGAAGTTGAAATTTATTTTATGTAGTGGTTCATCATGACTTGAAAGAGAGTTGGCGTTGAGGGAGGCTGAGCAAAGCGGGCACTATATCTTAGTCAGATGGGCTGTACTAAATTAGGCTTGTGGTAGGTTCCCCTCAACATTTTTGAGTTTCAGCCTCTCTGAGCACTGACCTGGTATTGTAGTACCTCCAGGCCCAGTGTTTGTTCCCTCCTGAGGGAACAAGTGCCCAATTTTTTAAGGGACACAAAATAAAATTTCCATCAGCCTGTTTTCCCAGTATGGGCCATGTGTTTTATGGCCATGTTTCTCATGGGCTGCATTCAGTCAGCTTCATAGTTAGCTTCCGTGACTAAGCACATGCTGATTCTAGCAGCAGTTTAACAATAGCCAGTGTATTTAAGAGGGGTGGGGTATGCAAATATAAGGCATGGAGCTTTTTTCCATGCTGACCAGGAGCGGGGGAAGGAATCTTATATATGAGTAAATATGGTATTTGGACAGTTCAACCATGCTGAAGTATAAGCAATATGAATACTTCAGCTGGGACTCTAACAGTTGCAGATATTTTAATTTGCCATGTTTCACTCTATCATACACACTAAGTAGCATGAATCATATAGCACCATGTACTGGGAGGCAAGAAGTAATTGTGCAATAGTATCCTTATATGTACATACACAAAGAAAAAACATCTTAAAACAAAGGTATGGGTTGTTGGAGAATGCCACCTCTATCTCTCCCCAAAAACTCTGCTCAGTGACAATTTGGTTAACATGGGCCCTGCAGAGGGCAGACATCCCATCTCTTTAGGTAGCCTGAGTTGGATACACTCCTGAGGGAGGTGGGGAAACCTACTCCTTCTGCCTACATGACTGGCATCACATATGCTCCTTATTGTTCTAAGCAATGCCAACCTGACTGGGAGGGGGCTAGAGACCCTGCCCAGCAACCAGTGATGCATTTCAAATTGGTTGGCTGGCAGCCAACAGGTGCTGGCCTCCATTGGACCAGGTAAATGAGGTCTATAAAAGTTAAGGACTGCCCAGGAGGAGGGGCAGTAGCCATGATGAAAACTCAGAGAGAGAAGAACTGGACCATCTGAAACTTGCCTTTTCTCTTGGAACTCATGGTCAATGAACTGCCTGCCTCCATAGGGAATCTCCACCTGCCTCTGGATGATACTTGTGAGTAAGCTACCTGAGATCTAACTAGATATATAGCTTGCAATAACTCAGATGTGTGAACAGAGGCTACCCAGCCACTCTGCTCTATGGGATTGTTCTACTCTGTACCCTATTCCAAACCTACTCCTTGTAACCAATAAAGTTCTCCTTTGTACCTAGCATGGGAGACTTATTGGGAGTTGGTCTAGATTATGCCTTGAGGTCCCTTTGGTTCAACTGGCTAAGGGAGACCACTATCTGTGCTTCAGAGTGAGGGAAGTACCCCAAATTTTTTAAGTGAGTCGAGTCCCCTCAAGGGCTACTAGGCCTGTGTTTCCCAGGGGGCACAATGCCAGGATCAGGCCGGACCCTGGGTGGTGGCAGCACTACCCCCAGGCTAGCGGGTGTGCTCCAGGAAGGGGGTCAGCCAGACATGAGGCACCCCCAGGGAGGCACTCAGAGCCTGGAAGGTGGTCAGGTGCAGTGAGGTGGTTGGCTCAGTGCAAGAGCACCCCCTACTAGCCCACCACATGGGTTACAAGATAAAGTACTCACAAATACTAGAATTAAGATTCCATTACTCAAGTTGCCAACAGTTTGGACAATCAGAATTTTTCAGGTTAGGACATCGGCAAATGAGAAACCAGTAATTCATGGTCACCTATGACAATTTTACATTAAATTACTTATGTGCTTAATGCACTGCTGAGTTCTAAAATGAGCTGAAGAACTCAACTTATTAATGTAAGGTGTTTCTCTTATGTCATCAGCAATGTATTCTGGGTATCTGTGTATATCAGTGTATTTCTCTTTTCCTGCAGCTTCTCTGCCTGCTATCCTCTTTTGCAATAAGGATTTTTCTCTATTTGGTAACAATATTTGCATGTATCTTTGAAAGTTTATTATGATGATGATCACTTTTTAATATATCAAAAATTAAGTTCATGTAGTGTTTATTTTTTAATTGCAAACCTTATTGAATTCATGAACATAAGCGAGTTACATTTAATATGGTTATTTTTTTTATACTCATGGATCTCCTAGTGCCTCAAGGGGCTTATGAGCAGACAGTTATGCTAGATGGAGTCCCACTGGCTGTGCGTACTTCAGATCCTGTTATAGGATTAGTATCAGATCTAAAATAAATTTTGAAAGACTTGTACTGTTCATTGGCTGATATTCATCACTATCTGCCTTGGCTAGTGCAAGTTATTCAAGTGAAAATGAATTGCACTGGCCATATCTTTCACTTTTTCTCTGAACCTAGAGGAAAGAAGCAGTGCTTTTGTTATCCTGTCTCAAGCAAGGGGCTAAACTAGGTGACCTTCAAAGGAACCTTCCAGCCCTATGTTTCTATTATTATAACAGAGAATTTAGATACCTAGAAGTCTTGAGGCCTCAATAGAACACCGGCATTAGGGTATTGACAGTATCCTTATGTTTTAAGATTATAAATGTACCAATGTTTTGTATGATTTTCTCCTCAGAAATATCCATATTGAATAAAAGGTTAGCAGAATCCCAAAAGAATAATGTGTCCCTCCAAGAAGAGGTAAAACAGCTGAAGTTGGTGTTTGATGAAGTTGAACTGAAAACTCAGCAGCTTCAGCACTCACTCCAGCGAGAGAATGAATTACAAAAGGAAACATTAGGTAAGAGAGAGGATTTTTTGCATCTTAAGCAAAAAACTAAGTGCAGTAAAAGCAAAATCAATCATTTTACTTCCAATCTATAACATTAGTATTTCTATTGAAGTAGCACTAAAAGGCCCTCAGCCCCCTCTACACTCACAGGTAAAGGCATGATAGGATCTAATGCCCCACCCACACAATCGTGTTTCCTGCCATGCCACACATGCATGGCAGGTAGCATGATTGTGGGATTGTGAATCAGATCTCATCATGCCTTATTGCTGGTGCAGGGGGAGCCTGATCTCAGGCTCCCCCTGCACCAGCAACAAGCAAGCTCCCGCAGTTGGGAACCCACTCAGCTAAGGGCATGGCATCTGATGAAGTAGGATGTCACCTACAAAAGCTTATGCCTTTCTGAACAAATTAATATCTAAGGTGCCATCTCTCTCTGTTTTCTGCTTGACTTAAGCTAATGTGGCTAACCACCTCTCTCTACAGGATTTGTAACTTTAGTACCTAAATACTGGATAGATAAATCTGCATTGGGAGGTCCAGATTTCAAGCATGATTCTGCTTTCTCTCTCCTAAGTCATAGAAGTTTTCCTTGGGGACCTAAGCTACTCTTTCTACCTTTCTTCAGTTTTTTTGGGAAAGTTTCAATTAAAAAAATTGTCTTTGCAAGATGCTTGAAAAACGGTATGGCTTTAGGCAAGCCCAATTTCTGCAAGCTGCCTCTGCAGCTGAGATCCTAAAGAACCCTTTACCTCTGTCTCATGTGGTTTTTCCTCTCATGCAGTCACTGATGAAGCCAGGTCTTGGTCCATAAGTGACTTTGAATATAAGGACCAAACCCTTCAGTTGACAACAGAAGCAAATCTAGAGCCAGTGGTTGGATGTGTTCACAGTGATTTTCAATTCTGCTCAAGCTGGAGTATTTGTATTTCTTCTACCTACAGTCTTATCTGTAGAGAATTACAGTAAAAGTATTATATACTTGTGTGTGTAAAATCAGGATGATTTTCACAGTCCCAGTCTCTGCCATTTTGGCCTCAGAATCTGGTCAAGCACCGTGTATTAATTTTTTTTTTTTTTTTTTGCATATCTCAAAGGATCTGAACTCATGAGGCATACAGGATGAAAAAATTACACTGAGGAAAATGAGGGGAATCCTCAATGTTTTGCAAAGGAGCCTTCTCCCCTCCTTCCCTCAACCTCTTAAATATTTATATATTCAGTCCTCAAATGCTGCATTTCACAATAGCTGAGAGAGATCAACACACAGAGTCTGTATGCCTTTCACCTTGCTGTGTGTTTTTAACTGCCACAAGATAGAAGCTGGCTTGATATGAGGCTTCAGCTAATATATGATGATTATTCATCTAGTTCTCTATTTGTCAAGAAACGAAATGCTAAAAATAGCAATCCCTAGTCAGTAAAATAGAAATTACTAATTAAATTGAAATTTAAAATAAAGCTAGACTAAACAACTAGATATTATATGGTACATGAATAGGCATCAACCAGAGGCAAATGAGTTTATAAAATCCTACAGTAAGCAGTTACAGCTAAATTTCACCAAAAACAAAGAGCAAGCCATTCATTCACAGGGATGTTAATGACAGGGGTCCTGGTTTTCTATGTTTAAAAATTACACATTCTCTTATAAAAATCCAAAATCCTCTGATTAAAACCCCCAATATCCATGTTTTTCTGCAGTTAAAATGAAATGCCTCTCTCTCTCTCTTTCTCTCTCTCTCATTTATTTGTATATAAGCCAGCACCACCCCCTGCCCCATGCACAAATCTGGGGGGGACATGCCCCCTCCATGCCCCTCTCCTTGGGAGTGTGCACAGCTGCCCCCAACACTGCCTCCCAGATGAGCCACCCATGGCTCCATCCCACTCCCTGAGCAGGGCCCGTGGCCACTCATTCACATCCAGGCCCCATGCACTGCCTCCAGCCCTAGCCCCAGCCACCAACCCTGCTCCACTCCCTTCCTCACCATGACTGCCTCAGTCTGCACCCCCTCCCCACATAGACTTACCTGCAGGAAGCTGGGGGAGATATTGTCTGCCTGGCTGTATTGCTGGCCATGTGCATGTGTGTGTGCACAAGTACATGGCACCTCCTGCATTCCCTCCCCTGATCCCCAAGCAGCTATTTGCAGGCTGGAACTCTGTTAGTTTCCCACGTTTTTCTCCTTTAAAGGAGAAAATCTGCACTTTCACAGCAAATGGAAAACCTGGATCCCTGCTGGTGAAGATATTGAACAAAACCAGCCCCAGGACCAACCCCTGGGGTACTCCACTTGATACCAGCTGCCAAGTAGACATAGAGCCATTGATTGCTACCCTTTGAGCCTGATCATCCAGCCAATTTTCTATCCACCTTACAGTGCATTCATCTAACTCACTTCCTGAGCTTGTCTGCAAGAATGTTGTGGGAGACCATATCAAAAGTCAAGGTATATTGCATCCACTGCTCCCCCTGCATCCATAGAGCCAACACATCCCATCATAGAAGGCAGTTAGGTTAGTCAGGCACGTCTTGCCCTTGGTGAATCTGTACTGACTGTTTCTAATCACCATCTTCCCCTCCAAATGTTTACAAATGGATTCCTTGAGGACCTGCTCCATGATATTTCCAAGGAATTAAGTGACTGGTCTGTAGTTCCCTGGACCTCCTTCTTCCCTTTCTTAAAGATGGGCACTATATTTTCCCATTTCCAGTTGTCCAGGACCTCCCCTGATCACCACGAGTTTTCAAAGATAAGGGCTAGCAGCTCTGCAATCACATCAGCCAACTCCCTCAGTACCCTCAGATGCTTCACATCCAGCCCCATGGCTTGTACACTTTCAGCTTTTCTACATAGTCCCTAACCTTTTCTTTCGCCACTGTAGTCTTGTGTAGACTGAAGTAAAGAAGGTATTGAGTACTTCAGCATTTTCTGTATCATCTGTATCATACTTGCTAGTCTTTCTGTGCATTGAGATGGTTCATTCCAGTGCCTGTAGTAAGGTTCTTAAAATACAACTAACTCTCCTGGTCTCCTTTTCCCCCTCAGATTGGCCTCCTAGGGGATCCTATCCATCAGTTCCTTGCGTGAGTCAAAGTCTGCTTTTCTGAAGTCCAGGGTCCAGAAGCAGACTCTGCTGCTTTCCTTCCTTTCCTTAGGGCACTGAATTCAATAGTTGCTCATAGTTGCTGCTGCCCAAGTTGTCATCCACTTCTATATTCCTCACCAATCTTTTCCTTTGTGAGCAGCAGGTCAAGAAGACCTCTCCAACACTTGCAACAGGAAGCTTTCCCTAACGCTCTCCAAAAACTTCCTGGATTGTCCGTGCACTACTGGATTGCCCCCTTCCCCAGCTGATGTCAGGGTAATTGAAGTCTCCCATGAGAACCAGGGCCTGTGATCTGGAAAATTCTGCTAGCTGTTTAAATAAAGTGTTATCTACCTCATCCTCCTGACCTGGTGGTCTATAGTAGACACCCACCATGACATCACCCTTGTTGTTCTCCTCTTTGACCCTAACCCAAAGACTTTCAGCAGGCCTGCCTCCAATTTCATACTGTACCTCTGAGCAATCATACAGCTCTTTTACATAAAGAGCAAGTCCTCCTCACCTCCTCTGCCTGTCCTTCTTGAACAGTTTGTACCCATCCATGACAGTGCTCCAGTCATGTGAGCTATCAAACCAAGTCTCTGTTACTCCTATTGCATCACAGTTCCATGACTGTGCCAGGACTTTCAGTTTTTCCTGCTTGTTTCCTAGGCTCTGTGCATTCATATATAGACATCTGAGGTAACTAGATGATTGCCCTACTTTCTCAAGAAAAATGAGAAGGCCTCTCCTGTTTGTGCTTCCTTTAGGTCACCTGCTTACCCACTTACTTCAGGGCTTTAGTCTCCATCCCCTGGCAAACCTGGTTTAAAGCCCTCCTCACTAGGTTAGCTAGCCTGTCTGCAAAGATGCTCTTCCCTCTCTTCATCAGGTGGGTCTCATCTCTTCCTAGCAATCCTTCTTCTTGGAACAACATCCCATGGTCAAAGAAGCCAAAGCCCTGCTGGCGACACTATCTGCACAGCCATTCATAGATCTTCATGGTGTGTCCACTCCTATGTGGGCCCTTCCTCTTCACTGGAAGAATTGAGGAGAACACCATCTGAGCTCCTGTCCACGTCACCCTTGCACCCAGAGCTCTGTAGTCACTTTTGATCTGCTCTGGCCCTACCTGGCAGTATCATTGGTGCCCACGTGGATGAGCAGCATGGGATGATAGTTAGAGGACTGGATAAGTCTTAGTAATCCTTCTGTGGCATCTCAGAGCTGGGCAAGCAGTAGGCTTTCTGAAGCAGCATGTCAGGTTGGCAGATGAATGTGTCTATCCCCTGCAGAAAAAAGTCTCCAACTACCACCATTTGTCACTTCTTCTTAGTAGCAGTGGTCTCAGAACTTACAACCTTGGGGAGACCTAGCCTAAATGTACTCCTTCTTCTTTGATGCTAGAGCTCCATATTTGTTCTTCAGCCAGACCACTGTAGGTGGGGATGTTGCTTGCTTCAAGTTTCTAGCTTCTACCTTCCTGGGAGTCCCTGTCCTCTTCCTTCATATTGCAGGCACTCCCCCACCTGGCTTTCACTGGCAGGCACTTCTCCACCTGGCAGTTGAGGAAGCCTCGACTATGAGTAGTTTTTTCTGGACAGACACCTCACAGGTACAAACAGAGGAAGAGCTGGCAGTGGCTAATGTCCACTTTTTAGGTAGGTCAGATAAAGGAAACCATTTGGGCTTGACTGCACTACAGCACAACTTTTCTTCAGTTGTACATCCATCTGGCACATGGTTTCCAAGATGCCAAGATTGTCTGCACACCTGTCAAGCATGGCATACCTACAGATCACTGCCCTGTCAGAGAGGACTACAAGATTAGAATGAAAAGAGCTGCCCTTGTTCTGAGTCACAATCTAAGGTCAGACTGGATTGGCTGTGACCATCTGCAAGGGTTGTGAGGAAAA